CCTCCCGCTGCGCTGTGGGGTCTGGGAAATAATGGGGTCCCCTCGTGCTGGCAGAGGGCTGCTGCTGCGCCGTGTCCCGACCCCAAACACCTACATGGACGATCCCTTCGGGCAGCCCCCGCCAGCTGAGACCCCCAAACAGCTCTACTCCAACGCCGAGCGGCTGCAGCAGCTGGTAACCTCTGCTGCTGATCTGTGCCCCCCACTCGCGACCCTCAGCGTGGGGGGATCCACTCTCACTGTCCCCTCGCCCTCGGGCCTCACCATCCGCTTGCCCACGGGCTTCTCCCGGCCTTCCTCCGCAGCAGCAGAGCCTGGACCGGGCAGCGCAAGGGCAGCGCCGGAGGCCGGTGTCAGCCCTGCCCTCCTGCGGCCACGCCCCGGGCCCTGCCCGGCCCCCGCAGCCAGGTGAGAGGGGCTGGGCACCCCAGGGCTCCAGCGGGGTCTCCCCACATTCCCCAGCTCCGGGTGCTGCGATGGCCGCGGTGTGCACGAGAGCTGGGATTTCTGTGTCCTTCCCATGCCCTTCCTCCCCAGCATTCCTCATCTTCCTCCTGATCATCCTTCCTCTTCCCTTCCTCCTGATCATCCGTCTTCTTCCTTTCCTCCTGACCATCCTTCCTCTTCCCTTCCTCCTGATCATCCTTCCTCTTCCCTTCCTCCTGATCATCCTTCTTCTTCCTTTCCTCCTGATCATCCTTCTTCTTCCTTTCCTCCTGATCATCCTTCCTCTTCCCTTCCTCCTGACCGTCCTTCCTCTTCCCTTCCTCCTGATCATCCTTCTTCTTCCTTTCCTCCTGATCATCCTTCCTCTTCCCTTCCTCCTGCTCATCCTTCTTCTTCCTTTCCTCCTGATCATCCTTCCTCTTCCCTTCCTCCTGATCATCCTTCTTCTTCCTTTCCTCCTGATCATCCTTCCTCTTCCCTTCCTCCTGACCGTCCTTCCTCTTCCCTTCCTCCTGATCATCCTTCTTCTTCCTTTCCTCCTGATCATCCTTCCTCTTCCCTTCCTCCTGATCATCCTTCTTCTTCCTTTCCTCCTGATCATCCTTTCTCTTCCCTTCCTCCTGATCATCCTTCCTCCTCTTCCCTTCCTCCTCTTCCCCCTGACCCTTCCTCCTCTTTCTTTCCTCCTGATCATCCTTCCTCTTCCTCCTGACCCTTCCTCTCTTCCTCCTGACCCTTTCTCCTCTTCCCTTCCTCCTGATCACCCTTTCTCTGCTCTTCCTCCTGACCATCTTTTCCCTGAACTCCCTTCCCCTGCCCTTCCTCCTGACCGTCCCCTGCTGTCCCCTGTGTCCCCAGGGCCACCGGCTGCTCTCCAGGCCCGGCCTGCCAGCGCCCAGCTGCCAAAGGACAGCGCCAAGCTCCCGAGCGAGGATTGTTCCGTGTCCCAGCACACCCTGACACTGCCCGGGAGGAAGGGGCCGTGGGATGGGCTCGGTAGGAGCGTGAAGGGGCCGGGTCCTGCCCGGAGAGCCGGGGGGGTGCTCGGCTTTGGCAGCGCTCCCGCTGTCCTTGCAGGGAAAAGAGCTTTTCCCAAGCTGGAGGAGAAGGTGGGACAGCTGGAGAAAGGATGCCCTGGGAAGGGCAGGATGAAAGCCGGCTCCGAGATGAACCTGCTGGCCCTCGGGAGGTCACTCAAGGGCCACATCACCGCCAGCTCGGGCGGGTCCGAGGTGGGCGAGCCCGGAGAAGGGGTGAAATGCAGGGAGAGCGAGGTTTGGAGGGCACCCCCCAGCCTTTCCCCGCTGCTTTTCCCGCAGGGATCGTTCCTCAGGCCGCTGCTGAAGCGCAGCACGTCAGCGAGGAGCGCCCTGAGGCCGCCCCCGTCCCCGCTCATGGCGGGGAAGGGAAATGTGATGAGGAAGACAAAGGTAACTCCAGGATCCGGGGGAATGGGAAGGGCTTTAGGCAATCCCAGGGCTCAGGGAAATGAGGGATTGACCCCCCCCAAATTCATCCAGGAGTGGGAGATGAAATCCGTGATGTGAGCACGGAGTGGGAGTCTCCCAGAGAACATCGGGCTGCACGTGGATCGTGCAGGACCAGCCTGGAATCAGCCTGGAATTTGACTTTTATCCATCACTATCAACGCTACAACTACGCACATCTATTTTTATATCCAGATATATCGATACACACATATCAGCTCTCCAGCCGTGGGCTGTCCCCACTGCATCCCCACCCATCCCAGCAGCTCATTTTTGGGGTACAGAATTCCCGGGTAATTCAGGAACTGCTGGCTCTGTCCCAAATCCATCAGCAGTTCCCCAATCCCCCTCCCAGGACCCTAAATTTGCAGGGATGGGTGTGGATAAACTCTGGATCCAGCAGGAGTGGGGGGCAGAGATTTGGGAGGCATCCGATTGTCCATTCCCTGGAGTCAGCGGGACCCGGGCTGGGCCCTGGGCTTTTCCAGCAGCTGAGCTTGGCAGGGCTTGGTTTGAATTGGAGAAATGTTATTTTTTTTAAGGATTAAAAAAAAAAAATTGTCATAAAACTTGGGTTGTGCTGTGGGAAAGGGAAAGGGGGATGCCCTTGTCCTGGTCCTGGTGAGTGTAGGCTGCATCCCAGTGAAGGGGTTTGTGGGGTCAATCCCATGAAGGAGTTTGTGGGGTCAATCCCAATCCCAGGAAGGGCTTTGTGGGATCAATCCTAATCCTGGTGAAGGAGTTTGTGGGGTCAATCTCAATCCCAGGAAGGGCTTTGTGGGGTCAATTCACCCCGGTGAATTCGTGGGGTCCATCCGGGCTGGGTTGATGCCCCACCCTGGTGCTCGGGGGGTTTGTTGCCCTCCAGGTGCCCGGGGTCCATCCCCATCCCGGTGCCCGGGGTCCATCCCCATTCAGAACTGCCTTCCCTCCCCTCCCCGGAGCACTTTTAGGGCTAAGGCACCTTCCCAACCGCTCCGCCCTCCCCTCCGCTCCCTCCCGTCCCGCCCGGAGCCGCCGGGAGCCGTCGGGGGAGGGACGGGCGGGGGCGGTGCCAGAGGCGGGGGCGGCACCGGGAGCTGCTGCGGGCTCCGTGCCGGTACCGGTGCCAGTCCCGGGAGCTGCTGCGGGCTCGGGGCCGGTACCGGGAGCTGCTGCGGGCTCGGGGCCGGTACCGGGAGCGGCTGCGGGCTCCGTGCCGGTACCGGGAGCTGCTTCGGGCTCGGTACCGGTGCCAGTCCGGAGGTCCCAGCCATGCTGAGCCGTCTGGGAGCGCTGCTGCAGCAGGCGGTGGAGACGGTGAGCGGGGCCGGGAGGGGACGAGGGAGGAACGGGACCGGGACCGGGACCGGGAACGGGGCGGGACCGGGAGCGGGGGGTTCCGTGCCCCCCTGACCCCGATCCCGGTGGGAGCAGCGGGAGCCCAGCGTGGACCTGCTGGAAGCCTTCACCGAGCACTGGAGGGGCATCACCGGCTACTACCTGGAGGCCACAGGCAAGTGGGGTCTCCGTGTCCCTTGGGGTACTTTTTCCCTGTTTCCCGGGTGGGGTCTCTGCCATGTGGGAATAAAGTGTGGGGACAGAGCTGTCCTGTCCTAGGAGAGCTCCTTGTACCCTAAAATGGGCTGTCCTACAAATGGGAATAGGGCCCCTGTGCCCAAGGAAAGGGGGGTGCAGGGCTCTAGGAGCGGACCCCATTCCCTGGGACACCATCCCATAATCCTGGGAGGGGACCGCGTGTCCTGGGAGAGGGTCCCGGGTCCTAAAACGGGGTCCCCGGCCTGGGAATGAGATCCCGGTGCCCAGGGGCAGGCTCAGGGGACATGTCCTGGGACAGGACCCCTTGTCCCGTGACAGGACCCCTTGTTCTAGGACAGGACCCCATATCCCGGGACAAGTCCCTGCAGCCCGGGTTGGGACCCCAGGCCCTGGGACAGGACCCCAGGGCTGCCCTGGCACCGGGCACAGCCCCTTCCCAAAGGCTGGCAGCATTTCCCCACGCGGGGCTCTGTGCCCTGCCCAGCCCCGAACCCCCGGCACCGCGGTGGGATCTGCCGGCAGCGCCCCACAGGCTGCCACACGAGCCTTGGGAGAGCCCCCCGCCCCAATTCCCGGCGGGACATCGGTCCGGGCCGTGCCGAGGGGTCTCCGGTGCCCACCGGGGGAGGAGCGGGATGTCCGGCAGCGCCCTAGGCCGGAGCGGAAGCGGCTGCTCCATCCTCACATTGCCATCTAGCGACATTCCCGCTCCGGAGGAGGAGCAGCAGGATTTGGGGACGGAGCAGGGAAAAGCCCTGGCGGAACCTCAGCGGCACGGCCGGCACCGCACCGGGGCATCCCTGCGGCAGCTCCCCGTCCATGGATCCCTGAATCCATGAATCCCCGAATCCCTGAATCCATGAGTCCTTGAATCCATGAATCTATGGGTCCTGGGATCCCTGAATCCCCAAATCCCTGGATCCCTGAATTCTCAGATTCCTGGATCCTTGAATCCCCAAATCCCAAAATTCAGTATCCCTGAACCCCTGGATCCCTGAGTTCCCAGATCCCAGTATCCCTGAATCTGCAGAATCCTGGATCCCTGAATTGATAGCCATGAATCCCCAAATCCCAGAATCCCCAAACCCCATATCCATGAATCCCGTAATCCCAAATCCCCTGATCCCTGAATCCCGTAATCCCTGAATCCCAGAATCCCCATATCCCCAGATCCCCAGATCCCCGAATCCCATAATCACTGAATCCCAGAATCCCCATATCCCCGAATCCCTGAATCCCATAATCCCCATATCCCCTTATCCCAGAATCCCCATATCCCCGTGTCCCAGAATCCCCATATCCCCGGATCCCTGAATCCCATAATCCCCGTATCCCAGAATCCCCATATCCCCAGATCCCTGAATCCCATAATCCCCATATCCCCTTATCCCAGAATCCCCATATCCCCGGATCCCTGAATCCCCATATCCCCATATCCCTGAATCCCATAATCCCCATAATCCCCGGATCCCAGAATCCCCATATCCCTGAATCCCCAAATCCCCGGATCCCCAAATTCCTGGATCCCGAATCCCCATATGCCCATATCCCCAAATTCCCATATCCCTGAATCCCTGAATTCCCGCATCCCAAATCCCTGGATCCCCATATCCCCATATCCCTGGATCCCAATATCCCAGTATCCCGAATCCCTGGATCCCGAATCCCGGTGCTATCCGCAGACGAGAGCACCCCAGCTCTCCGCACGGACATTCCGTGGCGGCTCCGGCAGCTCTTGGACATCCTGGTGTACGAGGAGCGGCAGCGGCCGGCGGGAGAACCGGGACCGTGCCTGGAATTCCTGCTCCAGCACAAACTGCTGGAAACCCTGGCAACCTTGGGAAAGGCCGAGGTGAGCGGGGGATCGGGAGAATCCCTCGGGAAAGGCCGAGGTGAGCGGGGGATCGGGAGAATCCCTCGGGAAAGGCCGAGGGGAGCGGGGGGATCGGGAGAATCCCTCGGGAAAGGCCGAGGTGAGCGGGGGATCGGGAGAATCCCTCGGGAAAGGCCGAGGGGAGCGGGGGAATCGGGAAAATCCCTCGGGAAAAGCTGAACCCGCGGCCTTTCCCAGCTGCTTTATGTGGATCCCCTCAATAATCTGAATTTTGGAGCATTTTTATTGGGAACGGGAGTTGAAGCGTGAGATGGTCACGGGGCTTGGGGCTTTTATTGGGGTGGAAATTGGATTTTATTGGGGAAAATTGGCTTTTTTGGGGGGAAATTGGCTTTTTTTGGGGGGGAATTGGCTTTTTGGGGGGGAAATTGGCTTTTTGGGGGGGAAATTGACTTTTTTTGGATGGTAATTGGATTTTTGGGGGGAAAACTGGCTTTTTTTGAGGAAAATTAGCTTTTTGGGGGGAAAAGTGGCTTTTTTGGGAGAAAATTGGCTTTTCTAGGAGGGAAAATTGGTTTTTTTGGAGGGTAATTCACTTTTTTGGGGGAAAATTGGCTTTTTTGGGGAAAACTGACTTTTTGTGTGGGAAATTTGGATTTTTTGGGAATGTCTTGGATCATTCAAGTTCCCCACCAGGATCTTTTCTGGAATCTTGCACCCCAGCACATCCCTGCTTACACAAAAAGGGTTTTTTATTAAAAATAAAAACACACTGCTTTTTTTTGTTAAAAATTTGGCACTTGGCTTTGCAGGATGAGGCGCCAGGTGCAGAGAAAAGTAAATATTGCCCAAATATATAACAAATATAATAATTCTGCCGTCCTTTTGTTGCTAAAAATAGCAACAAGGCCCCCAGAAATAGATTTTTATTGAAATAGAAGCGGAACTGCGCCGCTCTTTTCACACCCGTGAGGATTTGGGGGTTTTTGGGTGCTGGGGTTTAACTCCCTGATGCTGGGAAATGGGAAATAATTTGAATTATTTTAATAAGAATTCGATTTTAATTCAAATTGAATTATTTCTATCAATTTAATTAACTGCCTGATGCTGGGAAATGGGAAATAATTTTAATTATTTCAATAAGGATTCAATTCATTTTAATTATTTTAATAAGAATTCGATTTTAATTCAAATTTAATCATTTAATTATTTATATCAATTTAACTCCGTGATGCTGGGAAATGGAAAACAATTTTAATTATTTTAATAAGAATTCAATTAATTTTAATTATTTTAATAAGAATTCGATTTATGTTAGTTATTCTAATAAGAATTCAATTTTAATTCATTTTAAAATTAAAAAAAATTAAAATTGAATTTTAATTATTTAAATATTTCATTATTTAATACTGATTCAATTTAATTTAAAATTAATAATTAATTATTATTATGATAATGATTATGATGATGATTATGATGATGATGACGATTATGACTATGATGATGATGACGATTATGATGATGATAAACTATTAATGATTTATTATTATACTTATTGTTTATTATCAATTATTAATTATAATTATTAAGCATAATTTTTATTTATCTATTATCTATTATTTATTATCTATTATATCTTATTTATTATAATTTATTATTTATTATTTATTTATTATTCTTATGTGTCTTATTAATTTTTTATTATTAATTATTGAGGTTTTTTGGGGTTTTTTGGGTTTTTTTGATGGAGCGAATCCCCGTGGAAGGTTTGGGATGTTTGGGGTGGGAATTGGGAATTGGGGACTGGCTCTGATCGATGTCCTCGTGTCCCAGTACCCCCCCGGGATGAGGCAGCAGGTCCTGCTCTTCTTCAGCCGCGTCCTGGGGCAGCTGCAGCAGCCTCTCCTGCACTACCTGAGCGTGCACCGGGCCGTGCAGGTGAGCTGCCAGCTGTGTCCAGCTGTGGGCAACAGGCTGCAGAACCCCCGGAGCCCCCCACATCCCCAGCCCTGCCTCCCCAGAAACTGCTCCAGCTGCAGAACCCCCGGAGCCCCCCACATCCCCAGCCCTGCCTCCCCAGAAACTGCTCCAGCTCAGCGGGGACCGCCTGGGCTCCG